CAAGGCAGAGAGCCACACCTTCCTTGGACACCGTACAACAACGCGCCGTCACGGTTATGAATGGTTCCTTTGACAGGCTCAGCATTTTGATCCACGCAGATATAATTTCTCTGATTGGCGTGATTGTAATGTTCCGACATAAGATATCCCCAGTACTCCTTGGACCATCCCGCGGGACACTCGTATGTTGCCGGGATCATCAGTTTTGCGTTGCGGTTTGAAACAAAGCATACAGCACAAGGGACGTCGTGATCGTGAAGGTTCTTGTTGTGGAAAGGGTTGGAATGATGGGTGGAGTGAACCTGGTACTCTGCACCATACATGAATGCTGAATGCCTTTTAAGGACATTTGTGTAGCTCCAGTACTTGGGAGACTCAGTCAGACATACATAGTTGGAACCTCCACCTGGGTGGTTGTACCACTCTCCTCCTACACGACCTGAATGGAAAAATTGCAATAAGACAATTTCCAATGAATTCCGCATATTTGCATGATACCAAGAAAGAAAGGAGTTAAACGAGATTTTGCGAGTAAATGAGGCATCTTAATGAGGTCTATTATAACATTAAGTGAAAGTGAGTATGCGATGCGATGCGACTTATCGCGCGCGACTTGACGTGCAAGTTAGAATCGTACCGTGTACCTTTTGAACCGCTAAAGCTTTTAAAAAATCCTACAACAAGTTGTAGGGGTGACACGTTCATTTCAAGTCGCTCGATAAGTCCCATCTTGTAAATTAGCATTATAAAGCTAGCACTGATTTCATTCTCAAGTTACCTTTGTAGACGAGGTTAGCACCAGAAGGGCACGAGGTTTTCCCCCAGCGAATGTACTGAACACCACCACTTTTAGGACCAGGATGGCCCCTTAGTCCCTGAGCACCACGTGGACCTCGTTTACCAGGACTTCCTAAAGAGTACAACAATTTAAATAAAGGGTGTTTCCAGGGGGGTCCAAAGATGCCCCGTAACCTCCCCCACCCTCCACCATTTATTATAAAATGATTTAGGATATTGATATACTAAATTCACACGCTTTCTCGGTATTCTTATAACAGTATAAATATACATTTCTTCATTTGAAAAACCCGCTAACAACCACTGGATACGCCCTTATTGATAAACCACCTGGAAAAGCATTATCAACGGTTAATAACGTCTATTGAATGATGACAACTATACCTCGTGATCCTGGGGTACCATGTTGACCATCTCGACCATCTCGTCCTTTATAAGAA